GTATGTATGTATTTGCGTGATGTAGATTGTCACAAGTTACCTTCTCCAGTGTTATATAAACAGCTGAGTTACCAGGGGCCAGGTGTATTTTTGTATTTGTATCCCATTGGTATGAGAATAAAGTAATTCAGAATTACTACTACCATTGTCGCTGTGATTATTTTACAAATCCAAAATTTCAGAAAGTGAAAATTGAATTCTGGTTTCAAGAATTGATGAATCCTAAAATTTTGAAAATGAAATTTTGTTTTAAGAATAAATGAACCAAAAATTTTGGAAAGTGAAAATAGAATTTTATTTCAAGAATTAAATATAACGAAATATTCAGTTTATTTTTTGTGGACAATAAATTCAAAAAGATTTTATTTAGTTTTTTTGCCGACTGGCATTTTCTTTTTCATTTACTGCTGCATCATTTCCCTTATAAAACTTTGTTACTTTTCTTTTAAATTGCTATCAGGCGCACACAAGAATATTGACACATTCTAAAATTAATGAATTGATTGAAGTTGTGTTTCTATACCAAACTGAGTCAACAGAAAAAAAAAACAAAGTTTATATTTAATTTGTAATCAGTGTATATTTCAGAGTTTTTATTTTTACTTAAATCAAACAGCTGAGACAATTAGAATTATCTCCCTTAGATAAAAATTATCTCCCTTGGATAAATTATTTTAACGTCTATCTCTAAGATTTATCTTTTAACGAGTTAGGCTGTGTGCAAATTCAATACAAAAAATTACTTTAGATATATTTCACTTAATATTAATTTTCCCTAAGAATTTTTTTTTACTGAAATTTTGTTTCCTACCGAGAATATTTCTTTCTAAAAGCCTTCATTAAATATAACAAGAATATGTACAAAAAATATTTTTCAAAATTTATTTTTATGATTACAAGACATTTTTTATCAAAATACCCATATCTTCTTTCTCTAGATTTCCTAAAAACATTTCATTAAATCTTCAAATGCAATATATATAATTATACAGTGGAACCTCGGTTCACGAATCTAATTTGTTCATGAAGCTTGTTCATAACCTGAAATGTTCATAAACTGAAACTATTTTTCTAATAGGAATCAATGTTAACTTTCTTCTTAAATTAAGTACAAAAAAAAATCGCTTTACGAAAGCACGTACTAATTTCTGAAAGAAAATAGTTCAGCAGTGAATGACACTCAGGTGTTAAAATGAAAATTTACCAGTTAACTTTCAAATATATGTAAACATCGACAAATAAAAGAATAACAAAAGAAAAAAAAAAACTAACTCTAATTTGAAAGTTAACGTTCTTCTTAAAAAAAAAATTACTTTGTTATTCTTTTATTTGTCAATGTTTACATCTATTTGAAAGTTAACTTTCTTCTTAAATTAAGTACAAAAAAAATCACTTTACAGAAGCATGTACTAATTTCTGAAAGAAAATAGTTCAGCAGTGAATGACACTCGGGTGTTAAAATGAAAATTTACCCACAAGCTTATACACAAAGCTAATGAAAATCATTAAATCTAAGAAAAAATATAAACCCAATACTAAACAGATGAAATATAGAGGAACATTTTAATTTTACCGTACCTGTAAAACGGGGAGTTGATGGCGTAAGTGGGAGGGGGAAGAAAGATATGTTATTGTTTGGAAAAGGGAAAGGAAAGACATGATCGTCTCTTTATTTATAAGAATAGTATAGAGATCGTTGATTTTTCCATATGAAACTGAGAAGGAAAAGACAATATCATCCACAATTGTTTTTCTCTTAACTTTTCTTTTTCCTTTACCAATATCACTGCTAGCTTTCTTGTCTGTTTTTTAAATTAATATAAAAGAAGCCAATTGTAAATAAGTAGACAAGACTAGTCTAAATCATTCAATCAAGCATATCTCAATAGGTGTGCGTGTGTGTGTGTGCATGTAGGTGCGTGTGTGTGTGCGTGCGTGTGCGTGCGTATAGGTGTGTGTGTGTCAGATGTACAATTGTATCCGAAACAAAAGTGAAGATGATGAGACAAAGTGGAAAATTTATTAACAACGTATTTCACCAGAACGTCTGGTTCACTTTGGCTTCCTCAGGTTAAAATGAAAGAAAGACAAAATTGTATGTGAGGGAAAATGCTTTCGAATCTCTGAGGATAAGTAGTAAGCATAAATTTAATTAAATTAGATACCTTATCATCTCCAATGTCCAGAACTCAAGAGAATGTCTATTCACCTGTTGTTTGTTTGCTTTATCTATATCAGAGGCATTTGGTGTTGATGGATTTTAAATTGGTCCATCGAAACTAGAGAATCTTCCATTGATTCTGACCTATAAAGATCCGATAACTTTATTCAGTATTTATGTTTGTGTTGTATGTAACCCTTCAGCTCTGCTAGTGACCTGCATACAAGCCCACATATTGTGCCACAGTGAGGTTCTTGGGACATAGCAACAGGATTATTTGCTGATGCTTTTTTTGCTTATTTCATTTTTTCTGACTGAAAATTGCAAGAAAATATTTTAACATTTTTTTATTTAATTTTCTATATTAAATTTAGTTGAACTCAAATTTTCTTTATTGAATTATTTTTTTTTCAAATTCCTGGCAACTTAATTTTATAACATAATTTGATCGCTGATAACATACACTACAGTCCAAAAGTTGGAAGCCACCCCCAGAATTAGTGCGGGATGAACTTGACAGAAAAGTGAAAAAAAAAATGAAAAAGAAGTTAGACAAAAGAATTGACCAAAGAATAGAATCAGTTATGAAACTTATACTTTGAGAAAAATTTTCAACGAATGCCAAAAATTTGCGCAGCAGTAATCTAGATGTCTGTGTGATACCTTTTCACTCAAGATCCATCCAACTGATTTTGACCAAATTTGGCACATACATTGTACAATGTAAGAGATAGGTTCTTAATGTAAAAAATTGATAATTTTTTAAAAAATCAATAATCGATAAAGTCGATCAAAAATCAATAAATTCAACTTTTTTCTTCTGATTTCATTCAATCTCAATATGTAGGTTACTTACATCATGACGAGCTCAACAATACCACATTTTTATTTCTATGCCACTGTGTTTAGTGAAAAACCGCGAAAAACTAAAAATCAGCTTCAACACAAATTTTAAACTAAAAACTCCCTCAATTTTCAAGCAATCTAATACAAACTTAACTCGATTGTAGCCAAGAATAAGTTGATTGTTTAACAGTTATTTAATTTGATAATTGAGTCCTCCCATATAGTAAAAACCCATGTAAATAGTGAAAAATGGCAATTTTTATTGGTTTCTTTCTTATTTTTCGTTGATCTTTCAACCAATTTTCATCAAACTTAACAATTGCATTATAAATGTATCCTCTTTTACATCCCTGGTAGCATATTGACAAATTGAATTTCAAAAAGTCCAAAATAATTGTGGTCTGAAGTGGGTCTTCATGTTGTCTGTTCTACTCCTTCATGTCCTCAATGCCTTCAATTGAATAAATACAGACTACTTCTGTTATATCAGTAACTGCATTAATTCAAAATGTTTTTATAATGAAAGTACTTTAAAGCAATTGAAGAAGATAGACTCTGTTACATTTAAACATGATGCTGTTTTTGTTCCATTCTAATTGAATGCTTTTTTCTGATTGACCAGTTGGGTATGGCTGCTAGTCAAGGCTAAAGGAGGATATTTTAACAAAAGCAAAATTTAATCATAAAATTCTTTTTTTCTTTTTCTCATAATAAAATTTCTAATAAAAAATCATATCTCTCTTTTTTTTTTAACTATGTATAATAGTTTTATGTTACTTAAAGTATAAAACAACTATTTTTAGGGCCAAGTTAAAAAAATTACCAGGGGTTTCCTCTAACATTTGAACTGTAGTGTATACTTGTCAAGAAGATCTGTTGTGAAGCATATATTAATTAGTGATTATTTAAGTAATTAATTAGGTTTTTAAAGCCAACATTCTTTCTTATTACTATAAGCATTATTTTAGTGAGTCCATGTGTTTGAGTGGACATCTCAGATTGTTTTTAACAGTGAAATTAATGTCTACTGGTCGCAATCATCAAAAGTTTTATTAATTACTAGCAGTAGAACTCAGCGTTGCCCGGGGATGTAAGAGATAGATCAGTAAGAGATAGATCAAGTATCGACCATCATAAAGACTGAAAAATAAAATTGACAAAGGTTATTGTTTAAGGTTGATGGACACACATGTCTTAATTAGTTTGTTTTTTTGTTTTTTTTGTTTTTTTTACGAATTGGTCAAACTCAAACAAAAGCATTGTTTTCAATTGTTATGAGTCTACCGATTAAATAGAATTTTATTATAAACAATTGTCTTGTAAATGGAATTTTTAAAGCATTCTTAATGTAAAAATAAAGAAAAAAGTGTGCAAGACAATAAGAAACACTACCTGCCAAAAAAAAAGTGAAGTTTTGTTGAAATCGGTTGAAAAATGCAGGAAATCCGATCCCATATATAAACAAACACACACACACACACACACAAACAACCTGGGTTTTATAATAAGTATAACTCGATATGAGTTGTCCCACTTTCATTCTTGGGATGCCTCTTAATTGTGCTTTCAAATTGATTTCATGCAAAAACAATTGTGTTTTTCCAATTTTTGGTGCTGTCAGAACCACCGCAAGGTAATTTTACGTAGTCCTGTGAAGTTTTGTTGAAATCAGTTGAAAAATGTAGGAAATCCGATCCAATATATAAACGTACACACACACACACACACACACAACCTGGGTTTTATAATAAGTATGATGATTATTAGTCATCCAAAAGCTACATTTTCTTTAATAAAACTTTTGGTGATCTAGGCCAGTAGACATTAATTTCACTGAGATGTCTACTCAAACATTAGTTTTTATCAAAATGTATTATCAAAGAATTTCCTTGATTGAGAAGTTTCTTAATGTGTCCAAGTCTGAGAAGTACTTCATTACAGAATTGGCAACATTTCCTTCCCTTTGTCAGAATTGGTCCCCTGAGAATATAGCTCAGTTATTGTCTGAAAAAGAATAAAAAAAATGAAGAATAAATATTCCATTGATGATATGTGACATAAAAATAAGAAAAATTTCATTGTTAAATAAGAAACTTTACTTTTTGTAAATTTATAGAAAATTGTTACATTCAAATCTTTGTAACCAAAATTAACCCATTTACTGCCTCAACGTATATGGGTGTAGTTTGTGGCATGGTGCATATTGCCTCCAATGAACATGTGCATCTTACTCCATGGTTTTATTAAATGTGTTCAAGGCCTTTATAAGAGTCTCGTGTGAACCACCAACCCACCCAATTTATGATCCAGGGCCCCCACTGTACTACATCTCAAATTTTATAAGCTAGTATTGATATAAAATACAAATTTTATTGTAACATAATCCTGTACAATAATGGATCATATGCAATGTAGGTGAAGAATTCAATAAGAAAAATTGAAAATAATTACTATGTATCTAAATACAAATTAGAGACATGTCATAATAGATCATTTATCTTAAATATTTTGTGGAAATTTTTAACATCAACTTGAGATTTTTCTTGTTAAAAAGTTGAATAATTTTAACACATTCAACATTATGGATAAAAAACAATGAATTATCTCTTATTATTAATTTACATTCCTTCATCAGTGATCTGACCCTGAACTACCACCAATCTTCATGAACAGAGGTCCTCTCAGGGAAGTACCGTACCATGCCTTGAAAGACTGTTGGGCATCAGACTCACACCGAACCTCAAGTGGAACTCATACATATGATCCATTGGTAAGGATGCAGGTAAAATGGTTGACTCCCTGTACCACTCCAGTAAGTACCTGACCCCTCCTGCTATCTTCTAGTTTTATAAGAGTCAGATCCAAAATGGTGTACTGTTGTCATATTTGGGCAGCAGCTGCCAAGACCTCACTCTCCAGACTTGATAGAGATCAAAAGGGTCTCCGAGCCCCTGTGGGTGATGAACAATTCTCCATCCTTCAACCTCTCTCCCCACAGGCAGGATGTGGTAAGCTTCTCACAGCTTTCCGATATTTCCATGGAAAATGCTCATTGTCTGGTCTCACCGAGGCAAACCTTCACAGCAAAAACACAACAGGCCACTTACATAGTAACAAACCAACCACATCCCCTCCATATTCCATTGGTGAGAAGTTCTACTTGAACAGCTTCTTCCCACGAACCACTACCCTGTGGAACCAACTCCCAATGGGATGTTTCACTGATCACTACAATCATAAATTCTTCAAGGCTAGGGTTAACCGTTTCTTCCACTCCTATATGCACAAATGACCTCCTTAATGTAACCCTCTACCTTGAGTGACCTCCAGACCTTATAAAGGGTAAACCTTGCTGTAAAAAAAAAAACTGACTAGTATTTCTTTCATCTTATTTCTCTTGCTTTTCCACATAGAAAGTAATTGTCTTAAGTTGTCTGAATTTCTTAGATGAAGCTTTATTATTCATTTTTGACTAATATTTCTTTCATCTTATTTCTCTTGCTTTTCAACTAAGTAGTAATAGTCTTAAGTTGTCTGAATTTCTTACATGATACATAATAATAATAATAATAATAATAATAATAGCAGCAGCAGCTCAGGGCACAGTGTATAAAGGCGTTGAATAGATCCAGTGACAGGACCCAAAGAGTGTAAGTTCAATACCCGGTTAAGGCAGTGGAGAACTTGGAGAGGGGAATTAACAGGAGATAACTGATATCCATTAAACATGGCATTTGGAACTAGAACAGTCTACCCCAGTGGACTAAATAAAGGGTTCAGTTCGACATTCCAACCACCTGAAGAAGGCCGGAGCATACTACAGCCGAAACACTGTAATAAATATGGCGACAAAGATGAGGACAATAGTCCAAATAATGTAAATAGTGTACATAATACCTCATCTCAAAAATATAGACAAAATTGTCCATGTTTTCAATTTTACTCCTAGAGGCCATAGCCTAACATATCATAACAATTTTGGAATCAGGCGAGAGCAAATTAAAATCCTGAAATTTTGAATTCCCAAATTTTCCTTATTGCGATTGTTTTCAGTTATTTTTTTTTTTCAACAAATGTTTTTGTATGATAACAGTTTTTATAACATGGAAATAAATTTGGGAATAATGAAAATTTATTGTGAAATCCAATGAAAGTCACCCATGAAATAATTGTTTGTATGAAAAGTAAGGACCTACGTACACCAAACTGTCTTTAAATTAAGAGGCAGCAGAAGAATTATCATTGAACTTTTAAAAGGTAAGCTTAAATATTAATGCAATACTTAAATGCAGTGCTCAATTCTGAGTTCTTCTGTAGTTTATTGTTGCCTATGGTAGGAGTATGTGTCGCAAAAAGAAATCTCCGCCAACAGAGGACCTGATTGCAATCAAAAAAGTCAAACCCGCAGCGAGGAAAAGAAAGTCCTGTAGAAATGAAAACCCAGATCAAACGGCATCCAGGGGTAATTCCAATGCTGAGAATATGCAAAGACTTAGGGCTCTCAAACTCCTGAACAAGCCAAAGGTCCCAATCAAGAGCCCTCTGCAGAAGCTAGCTTAAATGACACCTGATAGGTGGCTTTTAAGCTAGTATTTAAATAACCCTAATATTTTCTAGTAAAGGAAGAAATAAAAAATAATGATTTCTCACAGACCAGTGTCTTCATTTTCTGTTTTTGATAATGGCTTTTCTTCTTCCAAAGTCTTGTTTTCAGTGTTTGTTTCATTTTCTGAAAAACCAAAATATTAGAAAACCAAATAAAGGCAATTAAATTTTGTATTGAAATGGCAAAAGATGCCTTCAAAAAACTAAACAAAGAAACAGGAGAATTTTGTCAGAAACAAAGAAAGTCTTCAATTGCTATGCAACATCAGTCCTTCTATATGGCAGTGAATGCTGCTGAGGTTGTTGATTGTGAGTGCTTTCAGTGAAAATATTAGGTCTGGTTTTCTGGTTTGTAATAAAAAATGTTATATGTGTATAAGTTTTTAAAAACCGCTTAAATTGCTAAGGATTCATTTCAAATTTATAGAAAATATTTTTTCCTATTTTTTGGCCAATGAGAGACGTGAGTCCTTTTGAAAATTTGGATGGAACCTTCTGTGAACCTCTTTTCTGAATAAATAGAACTTTGTATGGCAGATAAGACTAGAAGGCATTTGACATCAAGAAGAAAACATCAAGACATTCAGGCAGAAAGGCAAAGAGTTACAAGCCAGTTGCAAAGAGCCTAAAGAATTTTGAATTTCACAAGTGAAAATTCTTCTGAAGTTGGACAACAAAGAGTGAAAAAAGATTTCAAAGTAATTTTCTCAAAAGCCTCAGTGAAGCACAAACAGTGTGAATATAAAAAAGACATTTACAAAATTGTTATATGTCCCATAGACGCTCATGGGACATGTAAAAATTAGATTTTTTTTGTGGTAGCAACTTTGTTTTACTGCCATATTGAATGTGCTTTTTTCTTTTTGTCATTTTCAAAATTGAATCCTTCCTTTTTTTAAATTGTCATCCTTTTTTTTCATTTTCAGTGATAATCCTTCTTTTGTAATATATCTTTAAATTAAGACATTTTTTATGTTTATACGTTCTTTTTATAGATACAAATATTTAAGTAAATGCTCTGTTTATAATAAACAGTATTAACGACATTTACCGGCCTGAATGTCCGAGAAATTGTCATAGAAAATATGCGTCCTCTGACAGGACTCAAACCTGAATCCTATACGGAACCATTATTTAGCTAGACGTGTCTTAACCGATTGAGCCACAGAGGAGCGTTCGGTTAGCAAGGTTAATTTTACTGTTTTTAAACTACAATCTTCCATGATTTTCTCACGTACATTCATATCTGCTCGATGCATATCCAAATGTAAACAAATGACATCATACATTATGAAATGGACAAAGTCCGACAAATATTTTAAGACATTTTTATGTTTATACATTCTTTTTATAGATACAAATATTTAAGTAAATGCTCAGTTTATAATAAACAGTATTAAACAAAATTTACCAGACTGAATGTCCGAGAAATTCTCACAGAAAATATTCGTCCTCTGACAGGATTCGAAACTGTATCCTATACGGAACCATCACATAGCCTGACGTGCTTTTACCAATTTTGCATGGAACAAACAGGAATGTACGTGAGAAAATCATGGAAGATTGTAGTTTAAAAACAGTAAAATCGACCTTACTAACCAAACACTCCTCTGTGGCGAAATCTGTAAAAAAGGCTATATGATGGTTCTGTATAGGATATAGGTTAAATTTCTGTCGGAGAACGCATATTTTCTATGACAATTTCTCGGACATTCAGGCCAGTAAATGTTGTTTAATACTGTTTATTATCAACAGAGCATTTACTTAAATATTTGTATCTATAAAAAAGAATGTATAAACATAAAAATATCTTAAAATAATTGTCGGACTTTGTCCATTTCATAATATCTTTAAATGTTATCCTGACTTAATTATTTATAAGGTGCACAAAAAGACATTTGTGTACAAGAGTCTTAAGAAAATTTTTTGTATTTTTCCTTTTTTCTGTATACTGTAATAAATGTTTGTCCTTTAAAATGTCATACAGGGGTTTGTGTCTTGTTTGTGCCTTATACAACTTTCTATTCCTACTAAGTAGGGGTTACATTTAGTCATGAAAAACAGGACAGACTCAAGTTTGAGAGAACCGACACAAAACGTGACTGATATTTATTAAGTACCAGAAGAAAAGGAATTAGAAAGGGGTTAGGGAGAAAAGGGACGTATCATGGAGTAAGAATCGTGTTCCTTAATTAGGGAGCATACATTAAACTGTAATGCAAAGGGAGTATACATTAAACAATAATGTAACAACCCTAATTTAAAAAAACACCATATTTGTTTATGTCAAAAGTATTTAGAGAGACTACTAATAAATATTTTATCAACTATAAACACACGTCAAAAACATCACCAACTTTTATTGAATCGATTCTGAAAGCATCTAATGTGTAACAATACAATATCTCACACATCTTTAGAAAATAAGTAGATAAACTCCTTCCTTTTAAGTCCACTTGGCTATGTGGATTTTGTCTCCAGTCCATTCTTGAGGCAACTGAATTGCCAGGGTTTTCAGGATTCATCCAGTTTGCCTTTGAATTGGCAACATCAAATTTTATCAATGATTTTAGATAGTCATAAAAGTAGTCCTTTGAAGATTTAACCCTTCATGTAGCTTTGGGGTGGTCTGAAATCTTCTGGAACACAAGTGTATGGATAGGAGGATGGGAGCCAAGCCCTTATCCATATAAGCAGGGAGAAAGGGGTCCAGCCATGAGAGTAGGTGAGTAACCAGAAGAGTTAATAACTGCCCAGTCGCCAGGAATGAGGAATCAGCAGTGGCCGAAGAAGACAGGCAGTGAATGTAAGGTTTCTTTTCTGTCGCTGAAGTTAGCAAGATAGCAGTCTACTTCTCGAAGCTGAAGGAATGTCCCCACCATTAAGTGAGAAATCGTGTTGTTGTTAACTCATAACCAGTGACTTTAAAAACAATTTTTGTTATTATTTTTTGTTGAATACAATTACAGCCAAGCGGACAAATCTGTGAGCAGAGCAAAGTCGGGAGTACCTGCAAATGCAGCCGATACTGGATGTCAACACAGGTGCAGTGAACGGCAGATGAGTAGAGAACATCACCACAAATTGCACCACAAAAGTCATCAAAAACACTATATTACATCCTCAAATATTCTTGAATCCATTCTTAAAGAATCTAATGTGAAACACTTTCTCCCATATCTTTAGAAGATAAGTAAATAAACACCTTCCCTTTAAGTCCACTCACCTATCTTAATTTCATCTTCAGCCCATCCTTGAGGCAATTGAATTGCCAATGTTTTCAGGATTCATGTCTCCTGTTCACATTTGAAGAGATTCACATTATTCTGGTTCAGTTGTATTGGTACATTCGCTCGCAACAGGTGAAACTGATGAGGATACTATTAAAGGTGCAGGAGCTCTTTTTGATTTTGTTGTAATTATGGCTTTATGTTTATGCTTGCCCAGTGGCAATATGTTTGGCTGGAATCCATCTGCACATGGTCACTTTTTATTGCTGTGTCATCATCATTCCAAATGCCGGACACACTGAAACAGTTTACATGTGACTGTCATTTTTTTGGTATCAGTCCACATTTGCAGGGTTGTAAAGCGTGAATTACTTCCTCGCTGCCACCATGTTACATTAAGTCATAGAAAACAGGACAGACCCAGATTTGAAAAAGCCAACACAAAATGTGATCGGCATTTAATAGGTACCAGAAGAAGGGTTTAGGGAGAAAAGGGATGTATCAGAGAGTAAGAATCATGTTCCCTCAGGTCGATTAGGGAGCATAGATTAAATGGTAATGCAAAGGGAGTATACATTAAAAAATAATGTATCACTAGGTTTTTGTGTTTGGTACAAAAACTTAGATTTGGTAACGAGTAAAATTTTAATAATTGGTAATTTTAGCATGAAAACAATATTAAGATTTCAATTGAAACTCAAAATCAACTCATCAAAATTATTTATTGTCTAAGTTGGCTGTTATAAAATTGGCCTTCGAAGTCAGATTTCAACCTCTGGTAGTCATTATGTTAAACAACATTATTGAAAAAAAGAGCAGACAAGAAACTTTAGCATTTATTCAACGTTTTCTGAAATACTAAAACTCACCATTGGCCAAATTGGAATTGTCCGGTCTTGGACTAAGATCCACACTTGCATTTTCTTGTTTCTCCAATTCACTGACTTCCAAGTCTTCTATGATCTTCTTCATCCTTTGTTCCACGCCATTTTTTCCCTGCTCCTTGGCAATGTCCATCACTTGCTGGTAATATGACAGAGCCTCACTAGATTGTCTTTGATTCACTGAAAAGCAAAACACAAAATGAGCTTGTCTATATTTCTGAGATGAGATATTGTAATTATTTGCACTATTTACATTGTTCAGACAGTTGTCCGCATTTTCATTGCCATATTCACAACATTTCGACCAGCCTTCTTCAGGTGATTGGAATTTTGAACTGAACCCTTTATTTCATCCACCAGAGTAGATAACTGATACTCAGACATCTGGAAGAGCTATGGCATGTGGAACTAGAACAATCTACCCTAGTGGATGAGATAAAAGGTTAAGTTCAAAATTCTAAATTGCCTGAAGAAGGCCAGAGTGTATAATGGCCAAAACATTGTGAATATGGCAACATAGAGCAGGACAACAGCCTGAACAATGTAAATATTGTAAATAATTACAAAACAGGCTTATTTTTTATTTTGAATCATTTGGCACCAAGCAAGGAGTTAATGACACTAAGAGAATGTGAAGAATTTAGTGAGGAGAAAGGACAATAAAAGAACAGGTTTCAGGAAGACAGAAGATGGCAATAATGTCACTAAGACATAAGGGATTACTGGGAGGGAAAGAGAATGAGAAGACTTTAGTAAGGAGAAAGGACAATAAAAGAACAGGTTTCAGGAAGACAGAAGATGACGAATGACATTGAATTTAAATTTTTGAAGATTGTAGTTAGCAGGGAAGCAAGAAATCAGAAGGGAGTTCCAGAAAAGAAAAGAGATGTCCAAGTAAAGAAGCTATTAGAATAGAACTTATTTCAATAGTAAAATGATGAGACCTAATAGCCAATCTAGTAGTATGCTTAAACTCATGCAGTCAAGATACCAAGGAGGAAATCTCACTAAAACAACTGCCAGAAAATATTTATAGAAATGGCAGAGGGAGTGAGATTAGAAAGTGGCTGAAGTCAAGATGCCAGATCAGGTTCAGTAACATTACAGACCCTTCTTTGAATTTTGTCGAGTATCTTGAGATATATAGCTGTAGCACCTGACCACATATGACAGCAATATTCAATGCAAAGATAAATGGTAGATTTATAAATGTGCAAGTAGGAAAGAGATGTTATATCAACAAAACTACATGCAAAATTCCATAAGCTACATAAGGTTACAGAGAGTGGGGGCAAGAGTAAAGGTGCATGATAGAGGGAAGGATGAAGAGAAGGACAGGGAATAGACCAAGGCATCTGGAGATGTTGATTGACATTGTATTTGAATAGTTGGAGATTATAGCTATCAGGGAAGCAAGTAAGAGGAAGGGAGTTCCACAGATGGGAAGTGCGAGACATGAAGTTATTGGAGTAGAAGAGACAACTACATTTAACCGTTTTCGACAGTGAAAAAGGGGAACTGAGATGCCAACCTAGTAGCATGTTTAAATTCATGCAGTTTGGGAACCAGTGAAAGTAGCTCATTGGAGCAGTTACCATGAAAGTATTTGTAGAAAAGACAGAGGGAGGCGATGACACATCTGTGAGAGAGCGACTGTATATGAGATGCCAGATCAGAGGCAACCACATTGCATATCCATCTTTCGATTTTTTTGAGGACCTTAAGACAAACAGCGGGGGCTCCAGACTATATATGACAGTAGTATTCTATGGTTGATTTATAGATTTTAAGGATGGACTCAGGTGAGTAAAACTTTCTGGCACAACACAGAGAACTAACTTTCCTTGCGGTGAAGTTAAAACTGATAGTAGTTGGTATTCTCAATCAGGTTCCTGGAACGTCAATTCGGGCTCAAGTCTGTGATTGGGACATCTACATAGAAAGGGAAGATATGATTTTTATCTCTTTTAAGTGTTTCTTTCTTATGGTCGGCAGATGAGACCTTTGAGTTCAGGAGAACTGAGACCAATATCTCTTAAGCTCAAACAAAAGCAATTGCATTTTGCCAACCATTGCTACTGAGCAGTCGGGGTGGTCATCTCATTCTTACTTCTTTGGCATCAGTATAGGAATTAAATCCTATATATATTCTTCAAACAATAAAATCCCATTAGAAACTTTGTTACTGCCAAAATACTTGCAGACATTGTAGTAGACCAACCATGTGTTATTTTTGGAGCATTTAGAAAATAACAATAACTCCTTTCACCATTCCTGCAAATTCGAGAAAAAAAATTTTTGTGAGTTAGTGTGAAATTATTTTCTAACTTACAAAACCTTGTACTCAAAAAGTTCACACCTCTATGTGAAATTAGACTCTGGATAAAGCTTACAGATGTAAAAATAGAAGCAGACTACTTCTCGGTGTTCAAAACAATTTCAGAGTTTTGTTTGATCTATATGCACATAAACACCCACACACATGCACACAATGGAAAAGACAGCAGCCAGCAGCCACTGACTAAGACCTTGTCCACACACACAATAAAAGGGAATAATCAGCATCACCACACTATGAGTTAAATATTCAGGTAGTCTAGGCTCTTCAGCCATGTTTGGCAACCAGTTTAGGAGAAGGATAACTCTGAATTCAAAAAACAGTTTGGCTAGCTACTCCATCCCATAAAACCTTACTTGCTATGGAAAACATAGCAACAACACCTATATTTATATATATATATATTTTTTTTTAATCCGAACTCACCTAATGACTGTGCACAGAGAAGAGATGCATTCATTTTCCAGTCTTTTTCATTCATTTCCTCAGCAACTGACAATGACATGCGGCCATAATCAAGACTTTGGTCATATTCTCCCAGTTCCATGTAACAGCGTCCAATCTCATGGTACAGCCACGTCTTTTCAAGTGACATTAATTTGGAATTTAATTTTCCCTCCCATCTGAAAATTAATAAAAAATATGTCAAATAGTAATCGACCAGATTAATGCCAACTTTATTAAAACTTAGACTTACAATCAGAAAAAGTTGAATTTCTGGGATATATTTTTGTTTTTTTAATCATTTCACCCCAAGCAAGGCAATAAAGCTACTAAGCTGCAATAGGTTGCTGACAATAAAAGAACAAGAGTTATGAAGATAGAAGATAACGATTGACATTGCATTGAAATTTTTGAAGATCAAAGTTGACTGAAAAGTAAGAAGAGTGAAAGAGAATTAGAAGACTTTAGTGAGGGGAAAGGACAATAAAAGAAGAGGAATTAAGAAGACAGAAGATAATGATGAAACAAAAACTACTGGTGATGTGTAGAGTGATCTTGCTACACTGTTAATCTGTCACTGCATTTTAAACAAAAATAAACGTTTAATATTTTATTCTTTTTATTCTCTTTTTACAAATTTATGATTACTACCTATGCTTTTTTCAAAATTTATCATAATGGCCTTTACAAGCTTCAAAAAATTATCAGATGTACGCAATTATCCATGGACACATTTGTCTAGGGATGGAAATGTCCCAGAAGACATAAGCAGAATCAAGGAAACTAGTTAGTAACCAAACTAACAAGATTGTGTCAATGGATGATAGAACAGGAATTAGGAAGGAGAGCAAAAAGACACTTAACTCCAAAGTACAGGAAGTTATGGAGAGACATGATCGTCCATGTCCTGAAGGGACATGGCAAATAGAAGAAGAATATTTTTTTTATAAGATCTTTATGATAAAATCAAAATCACACTTAAGAAACTGGTATGCATTACAAAAAATAAAATTAACTTCAGAGATATACACAAATACAGTTTTATTATTTTTTGTAGAACGAAGTTAAAACTATGGATTTTGTATCTTGCTGGTGTTAACCGGACATAAAAATATAAAAAATTCAAGACAAAAGATTTTACTATAAAAATGCATTGCAAATGAATTTTACTATCAAATGCAGAACAAATGATTTTACTAAAAAAATGCATTTTACTACAAAATCCATTGCAAATGATTTTTGATAAAAGTGCATTGTAACTGAAATGATTTTTACTATAGATATGTACTGCAAATGATTTTATCATAAAAATTCATTCCAAATTATTGGACTGTACAAATATAATAATTATCTAATCATGATAAGTAACAATTAATTGCCAAAACTAATAAATGATGAAGTTAAATGAAACTGAATGATATTTAGTATTGGTGGGTGCAGAACAATTAATTCAAAATTCTCTAGCAAGACTCACATGAAGTTGGATTACAGGACTTGAACCTGTAGAATTGATTGAGAGAAACACAACCAATGAATGAGACTAAAATGATTTGATCAAATATTGGTTGGCTTAAAAAAGGTCAAACTATATGACTTGTTAATGTAAGAGTCTGAATAGTCAAATATTAATAATAATAATAATATTAATAATAATAATAATAATAATAATGGTATGAACACCACCCAGACCCAGTTACGGAGATATGACCTGTTACAATTCTATGGGACTACACAATACACACTGACAGAACAATCAAGGCCAACTGGCCAGATATTGTTATTAAAGACCACAAACAAAAACGATGCCTCCTTATTGATATGGCAGTCCCTGCAGACTGCAATGTATCTTTGAAGATATTCAAAAAGTTGTCAAAGTACAAGGACCTTGAAATAGAAATCTTGAAAATGTGGCATATGGGAACATCAACAATCCCTGTTGTAGTTGGAGCCCTAGGACTGGTTGGAAAAGATTGCAGTAGACTAATTGAAAGGATTCCTGGAAGTCCATGCCTCAAGGAGATACAAAAAATTGTTCTGACAAGTACAGCCCACACCTTACGACCCGGAAAGAAATGTGTAAATGCCAGAAATCAAAGAAAAAAAAAATAATAATAATAATGATAATAATACTTACATATTTATAGCTTTCCTGTATTCACCCATTCGAGCATAAGTGCGTCCCAGGTTATCAATGGCCCGTCCAGTATCATGGTGGCTGTTGGGAAAAAATTAAACAAAATTTGGATCTCTTGAATTCATAATTTAATAAAAACATTTTTACATCATTCTTATCTTTACCTCCTGCAGTATACCAAATATGCAAACTATATATATATACACATATATATATATATATATATATATATATATATATATATATATATATATATACACACAACAATTTATAATTTTAAAAAGTTCATGAACTTTTAACAATTTATAATATATATATATATATATATATATATATATATATATATATATATATATATATATATATATATATATGTCCAGGTATAAGACAAGAAGAAAGGGAGCATAATTCCACTGTCTGTAGAATTTAATTATAAAAAAAAAGGGCTCAATACAGAGGAGAGCTTAATATTATTTATTATAGGAGATTAAAACTAAAGCATGTTAAAAATTTAAAAATGACTCACCAGTCATTTATCATCACCTGAAGAGGCAAAGCTTAGTGCCAAAACAGGAAAGCTATTGTGTAGCAATATTTACCATCTGTCTATATTTCTGAGATGAGATATTATGTACACTATTTACATTATTCGGACTATTGTCCTCATCTTTGTCGCCATATTTATCACCCTTCAGTATCTGTCTATATTTCTGAGATGAGGTATTATGTACACTATTTACATTATTCACACTATTGTCCTCATCTTTGTTGCCATATTTATCACCCTTCAGTATCTGCCTATATTTCTGAGATGACGTATTATGTACACTATTTACATTATTCAAACTATTGTCCTCATCTTTGTCGCCATGTTTATCACAACGTTTCAGCGAAATAAAGGGTTCAGTTTGACATTTCAACCACCTGAAGAAGGCTGGAGCGTACAACATCCGAAATGTTGTGATAAACATGGCAAAAAAGATGAGGAAAATAATTTTTATCATGTTTTTGTTTTAATCTATAATATATATATATATATATGTGTGTGTGTGTGTGTGTGTGTGTGTGTGTATTTAGGCAGCAACCTTTTTTCCAAACATCTTTCATTAAATATGGCCAACAAGGAAGATTTAATTATTTTTTTATTAAGTTTTTGCATTTTGAAGAAGTAAAGGAGTACAGAAATTTTCCATAATTTTTATTGTCCCAAGCGCTTTCGGCCACTTCTATAGCCATTTTCAAGGGTAATTTGTCTCTGGTGTTGTTATTTTTGTCTTCATGTTTCTGTTATGTACTAATTTACTTTTGTGTTGTCTTGAATAGGAGCATTCATTCCGAGCCTTCACGTGTTGCATGCATTTGGAATTCACACAAACATCTTTCTACTTTTAAAAAATTTTTTAACACTCCATTTCCAGTATTGTGAGGTTGAGAGTGTATTTAGGCAGCAATCCTTCTTTTATATATGTTTCATTAAATACAACTGACAAGGCACTGTGATAAATTTTTTATTTTATTTTTCTTGCATTTGTAAAAGCATTTTCTTTTCTGTTCATAAAGTGCATAAAAATTTCTTTCTTTCTTGAATCCTTCTTTTTTTCTTTTTTCCTTTCTTTCTTAATTGAATCCTTCTTTCTTTCTTTCTTTTTTTCTTTCTTTCTTTCTTGATCCTTCTTTCTTTCTTTTTTCCTTTCTTTCTTAATTGAATCCTTCTTTCTTTCTTTCTTTTTTCCTTTCTTTCTTTCTTAATTGAATCCTTCTTTCTTTATTGAATCCTTCTTTTTTCTTTGTTTCTTTCTTTCTTGAATCCTTCTTTCTTTCTTTCTTTCTTTAATCCTTCTTGTTTCTTTCTTTCTTCATTTCTTTCTTTCTTGAATCCTTCATTCTCTCTTTCCAATTATATTTCACTTCTTTATTCTTTTCTTTTGTCCTTCTTTCATTTTTTCTATTTTTTTGCTTCTTTTCTTTTACATTTCCATTCTTCACTATTTTCCATTCCTTCTTTCTTTCATTCTTTCTTTCTTTCATTCCTTCTTTCATTTCTTTTCTCAATCATTTTTCAATCTTTTCTTCCTTTTTTCTTTTACCTTTCTGTTCCTTTTCTCATTATTCATTTCTTTCATGCTTTCCTTTTCAATCTTCATTCATCCTCCCTTTTTTCTTTCATTTTTCCTTTTACATTTCTGTTCTTAACTCTTTTATTCTTTTCTTTCTTTTACTCTTTTGTTCCATTATTCTTTTTGCATTATTCTTTTCTTAATTTTCTTTCTTCCTCATATTTCATTCCCTCTTTCTTTTTCTTTCTTTTCTCTTTCATTTTTCTCTTCAATTATTTCCTTCTGTCCTTTCTATGCTTTTCTGTTATTATTCTTTTTTTACTTCCTTCTTTCTAATGTTTCATTCCTTTTTTCATTCCTTTTCTTTTTCCTCTTTCATTTCTCATTTTTGTTCCTTCCTTCATTTCTTTCTTTCTCTTAATTCTTTCATTCTTTTTCCTCTTTCATTTCTCATTTTTATTCCTTCTTTGCTTCCTTCCTACATTCTTTCTCTTAATTCTTTCATTCATTTTCTTTTTCTCCTTTCATTTCTCCTTTTTATTCTTTCTTTCTTTCCTTCCTTTCTTTCTTCCTCTTAATTCTTTCATTCTTTTTCCTCTTTCGTTTCTCATTTTTATTCCGTCTATCTTTTATTCCTTCCTTCATTTCTTTCTTCTCTTAATTCTTTTATTCATTTTCTTTTTCTCCTTTCATTTCTCATTTTTATTCTTTCTTTCTTTCCTTCCTTCCATCTTTCTCTTAATTCTTTTCTCTTGTTTTTCTTCTTTATACTTTTCTTCACCTTTGCAATCCAGAACCAATTTAAAGGGACATAACTCTCAAGCCACAAATACTTACTGTGTTTCTGAAATGGCAAAGTCTTTGTTGTGATGCATTTCAGCCCAGCCAAATTCTTCCAGTTCTAAATAAGCATTGCCAAGACAACTGTGAAGATTGGCCATGAAAAGAAACTTTTCAGGCACTTTAGCTACAGAAGTATTCTCTGCTGTTTTCAAAGTCTTCTTTGCTTTTTCTAAAGCCTTCCTGTAATTCCCTCGCAAAAGATCTGAAAAGAAATTTAACCTATCACAATTGCTGGTTTCAAACATTTAATTCATCATCAACGTTTTTTTGCCCCTGATTTTTAACCATCAAGCGTATTTGACTGACTATTTTCCAAATGTTAACTTCCTTTCAGCCTTATGGCTGGGTTCAAGGGTAGTGCACCCAGCCATAAGCCCTGATCTATTTGGAAGCTCCAGGCCCTTGTTATTTTATCCACATTTGCTTTTTTTACTACCTACATTTAAAGTATACATTACAAAGTAAACTAAACACAACTGGTTATTAAAAATTACTGAAAAATTTTTGTGGATTTTGATGACATTCTGTTTTTTTTCTTCATCCAAATCTGTGAAAAAAAAAACTATAGAAAATTCATTATTTTTTATCCATAATGTCGATTTTGTTAAAATTATTCAACTTTTTAACACAGAAAATCTCAAGTTGATGCTAAAAATTGTCACAAAACATTGTTTATTTATTGATGGAGTGATCTATGTAATTTCTATTTAGATACATTGTATTTATTTAAAATTTTTCTAGTTGAATTGTTTACTTATACTGAATAGGATCCATTATTATACATTAGGTTAGAATAAAATTTGTATTTTGTATGAAGACTGCCTTATGAAATTTGAGATGTCACAGAGTGGGGAGATCCTGTATCATATATGTAGATGGATATCATAGATTCAGTAGGGAGCCCACAAAACCCTTGCACTGACTCTGGCTGAGTTTATTTTTAAATAGTGCTCAAAGTTATTAAATATGCAAAAACAGAAAAAGGCATAAGACAAGGATGCATCTTCTCACCAGACTTATCCAAACTTTACAATGAGGTGATTCGGAGAGAATTAGAAGTTCTATCAGTATTTATCTGTGGCGACCACAATCTTAACAGCATTAAATATGCAGATGATGCAGTGTTGATAACAGACACTGAAAAGAAACTGCAGGGTTACTTACAGAAGGCAGTAAAGGAAAGCAAGAAGAAAGGACTAAGCATCAATTACAAGATCATCATCATCATCATAAGGATGAGATGATTTCCTTGTCTGCTTAGTGGAAAAATTTGGAAAATTAATGATAGAACAGGTCTATACTTGCATGTGGTGTGTGTAACAAGACACTCAAATTTTCCATCCTCTTTAAAAATTCAAACTTTTCGAGCACTGATTGAACCAGTCATACTATATGGATCAGAAATTTGTACATTATCTGTTTGTCATGAAAGACGACTGGATGGAACATATACAAATCTATTTAGAAAAATCAAGAACATTAGTTGGAGATCCCATGCAACATTTAACACAATTTACAGAGAACTGAGACCAATCTCTCTTAAGCTCAAACAAAAATGATTACAATTTGTCGGCCACTGCCGTCAAGCGACCAAGGAACATCTCATCCTTAGTCCTAAGTCATCCTTCTGGTAGTCTTCTCACAAAAATTGACTTTCACAGACACCATAGCTCGGGATTCAGGGTTGGACACTGGGGATCTGGTGACGGCAATACAGGACTGAACAGTGTGGAAAGGGATTATCAATGAAGTTCCGACCAACCATAGGGAGATTGTTGGTTGGTTTGGTTTGTTTTATAACATATCAACCTCAATGTGTTATTTAATGCCAACAAAATTGTTATTGTTGGTAATATTTTTTTTTCCAAAAATCTCTTTCTGGTAATAATTTTCCTTCAAAAATGTTTTGCTGGTAATATTTGTATTTCAAAAATGTATTGCTGGCGATATTTGTATTTCAAAAAGGTTTTGCTGGTAATATTTGTATTTCAAAAATGTTTTGCTGGCAATATTTGTATTTCAAAAATGTTTTTCTGATAATATTTGTTTTTCAAAAATGTATTGCTGATAATATTTGTTTTTCAAAAATGTATTGCTGGCAATATTTGTATTTCAAAAATGTTTTGCTGGTAATATTTGTTTTTCAAAAATGTTTTGTTGGCAATATTTGTATTTCAAAAATGTTTTGCTGGTAATATTTGTTTTTCAAAAATGTATTGCTGGTAATATTTGTTTTTCAAAAATGTATTGCTGATAATATTTGTTTTTCAAAAATGTATTGCTGGCAATATTTGTATTTCAAAAATGTTTTGCTGGTAATATTTGTTTTTCAAAAATGTATTGCTGGTAATATTAGTTTTTCAAAAATGTATTGCTGGTATTAAAACTTATTTTCACACTCTTTGACACCAGTTTGGGGGTTAACTATTTGCCCATAGCTGGGACCCTGACAGGTGATACCACCCCGGGTCATGGTGGACCTGGGAACACCAGTAATTAAGAGGTGGTTCCACACTCCTCAAAACATCCTGATCAGAAGCCTAGCTGTCGGATGTAGTTTATTGTCTTACCCAGGACAGCCATAGGGAGGTCAGTTTATTATGATTATATGCAAAAAGTAGAAGCATTGCAAAGGATTTTACCATAAAAATTCATTGCAAATGATTTTATTATAAAAAGCATTGCAAATGATTTTACTATAAAAATGCATTGCAAATAATTTTACTATAAAAATGCATTGCATATAATTTTACTATAAAATGCATTGCAAATGATTTTAAAATAAAAATGCATTGCAAATGATTTCATTATAAAAATGCAATGCAAAAATATCATTTTTAAGATTAATTAAATAAATCCTTGAAATATTTCACTGATGATCCCATATAGTTTATTGTAGCATTTCTATTTTTGTGCCAACTGCATTAGAACCTCATATTTGCAGGTAAGGTTTTAGCTTTTATTACTGACTGCAGATTCTACCAATATTTGGCCACAAACAAACAAAATACTGCATGTATTAATTACTTAAAATCTCTTTTAAAATAAACTTGCATACTGTCTCAACATAAAAAGGAAAATAAATTGAAAATTAATTACCTACCATTGTCAATTTCTTCTAAATCATTAAGGATTGACTGACATTCATTGTTCCCAGATCTTACAGTAATTGGTCTCCTTTTTCGGGCATAAAGTGGTTTCTGACGTTGCCAAAAGTTAACTCGGGTGTCGATATATTCCAATTCATCCATAATCAAATTGCGTATATCTACACTGGTGTTATTTTCATTTCCAGTCAAGGCTAAAAAAATAAAAGTATTAGGTCATTATCTTGGTTATAACCAGTCTCCAGTCACCCATCATAGGCATTAGTTATCCGTGATACACTAAAAACTTAAGACAATGGAAAAAAAACCAAATAGCTGAAAGAAATGAATGCCAAATATACATTTGCTCACAAAGACTTTATATACAGATATAAGGTTGTTACATATATTCATTCGTTTTCTTTCCGTGTTTCTGCAAATGATCTTGAATAATACTTTTTCATGGTCTTTTTTACTTCTTAGTAATTTTGGTCATCCTGTAGAACTATTGCCTAATGTTACTGAAACTTTATTTCAGATTAGACTCCTCTTTGAGATGGAATGCCAAGTAGATAATGATGAGGATGTTCAAAATCTACCTCTCTTTGCTTTTAATCAACGTTACAAAATTGCCTAAGCTGCTTGAAGCATTGTGCTGTGGACAGAGATGACTTCATTACCGACAGAATGGTGGAGAAATCACTGAGAATCATCAAGAACCATTTTGTTAATTAGGAAATGTACTTTGTATCTATATGACTACCATTAACAGCCTTTTCATACGTCAGGCAAAATACAATGGGTTATGAAACAATTCCATAAGAACTGAATATGGTGTGGCATTTAAAAAGACACCCTCAGGTAGATAGTTTTGGGTTTTTGTTTGCACAGGTTAATTCCTTGGATAAAATTTTGACTTACTTCCATTAAATTACAAAGATGTACCCATGAAATAAACATAGATGGGCGATCATGATTCTCCACAACTTCCTTGTGCTTTTTCTATAAATTATTTCACGGTAATAGTTTGGAGGAAATCTTCTCTATGGTACGTACACTTTATGAATTTAAATGCAATGTCAATCATTAATGTCTATCTTCTTAATTCTTGTTCTTTTATTCTCCTCTCTCCTTAATAGTAGTTTTTCTCATATTCTCTAACACTCAGTAACCCTTTGCGTCCTAGTGGCTTTATTGCCTTTGATCTTCAAAAATTTCAATGCAATATCAATTGTCATCTTCTGTCTTCTTCAGTTGTCCTTTCCCCATTAAAGTCCTAATTCTCTTTATTGCCTTTGATCTTCAAAAATTTCAATGCAATATCAATTGTCATCTTCTGTCTTCTTAATTCCTCTTCTTTTATTGTCCTTTCCCCTCACTAAAGTCTTCTAATTCTCTTTCACTCTTCTTACTTTCCAGTCAACTTTGATCTTCAAAAATTTCAATGCAATGTCAATCGTTATCTTCTGTCTTCTTAATTCCTCTTTTTTGTCCTTTCCCTCACTAAAGTCTTCTAATTCTCTTTCCTCTTCTTACTTTCCAGTCAACTTTGATCTTCAAAATTTCAATGCAATGTCAATCGTTATCTTCTGTCTTCTTAATTCCTCTTCTTTTATTGTCCTTTCCCTCACTTCTTCTTGTCCTTTCTTACTTTCCAGTCAACTTTGATCTTCAAAATTTCCATCCAATTTATCTTTCACTTCTTCAGTCCTCTTCTTTTATTGTCCTTTCCCTCACAAAAGTTTTATCTTTCACTCTTCAGTCCTAACCTAATGCAATCTTCATTCATCTTGTTTTTGACTTATGCCATTTGCCTTGTACATAAGACAGCATGGGTCAGTTTCTAGTCAGATGCCAAACTGGATTGTTGTTCATTTGCTATCTTTCATTTGTGTTGTATCTGTGGAAACTTATTGCCCTTTGTTATGGCTCCCAAACCTAATGTAACCTCTTCTGATAGTGATGCTTCGAAGAAAGGGAAAGCCATCATCATGGAAATGAAATTAAACATTCTTAAAGAGAGAAACAGCAACGAAGATGGTAAATAAGAACAGGTTGTTTTGGTGTATGGAATACTGCAGTATGTTTGTGTCAGTAATTGTATCTAGCTAGGTTTTATTATAAGACCAGCCATCCCCACCTCAACTTCTGCCACATTTTTCTATCTTTACAAAATAAATATTACTTTCCTCTATGGTACCTAAATGTTATGAATTTAAGTGCAATACTAGATTGGTGGTAAGGTCTCATCCTTTTACAGTTGAAATGGCTACATGTAACATTATGTTTTCTCATTCTGTATTTTATGTCAAAGTGTCCTTTTTACAAAAAAAAAAAAAAGAAAAAAAAAAAAGAAGAAAACAGCAACGTTTAACCTTTGTGGTCATAAAAAAAACAGTGTGGACAGTTATTCCCTTGACACCACTATTACTGCATACACTTTTCACTCTCTTGGCAATGTTTATTTACAAGCTTATAAAAATATGTGAACCAAGTAAAAATGCAATATCTATTATTTACCTTTTATAAAGAATTATTATTTATTTATAACACACACTAAAAATATTGAGTGTTTGTGATCTCGCCAAAAATCTAAAATTAAAAGAAAGTTTGGTTCGGAGTAAAAGACACTCTCAGCCTATTTTAGTGAATTTATGTGGCAAGAGCAAATGAAAGAAATGCCCGGAAAATTATACCTCCTCTTTATGTGTTTGTTTAATTTTCTTATTTATGGACATCTTTTTTAAATTTATATATAAAAAAAACAAAAAATTCCTTTTCATATTCACTTACACCTTTCTCAAAGTGTAAGTGAATGCAATGACCTGGAGTTGAATTCAAACTCAAATTTCTCGTTTCAATACGCTATCTATTATATCACCCACACCAGTTATCTGAGCTTGAAGCCTGCCAACTGGTTCCAACAGGAAATAGGTCACACCCTCAGCCCTGAGGGTAAGATTGTGTTCTATTACTGATATTTCCTAAATTTAATTTGTTATCAAACGTGAAAAGATGAGAAAATGGATTTTGGAAAATCTTGTCCCAGTGTACCAGGGAACCATCTGGGTTGAAAATCACGTTGTGAAAACCCAATTTTTATCTAAACATTGAAAACTGATGCTAGTTAGAAACGTACAGCTATGAAAACAGGGCCGAGAAAATTGTTGTTGTATCTTATTATAGATGAATGGGAAGGAGTGTCTTGTATTGGCTAGCATGCTGATCACTTACTACAAATTGGTGACACAGGAGGGTCAAGACAACTAGATGACTGCCTCTATATCAATATACACAGGGTGAATGGGAAGGAGCATTTCCTATTGGCTGGTGAGCTTATAACTTACTACAAATTGGTGACACAGGAAGGCCAAGACAACTAGATGACTGCCTCTATATCAATATACACAGGGTGAATGGGGAAGGAGCATTTCCTATTGGCTGGTGAGCTTATAACTTACTACAAATTGGTGACACAGGAAGGCCAAGACAACTAGATGACTGCCTCTATATCAATATACACAGGGTGAATGGGGAAGGAGCATTTCCTGCTGGCTGGTGTGCTGATCACTTAACAACAAATTGGTGACATAAGTGGGCCAAAACAACGAGAAGACTGCTTGTGCCATAAATTACTTAAAAATATGTTTAAATATCTTCCATTTTGAATAAATATTTTTGCTTTGCTTTAGAGTTTTGAATTCAGATTTATCCTTTTCCTATTTAACCCATAGCTAGGAGGAGAAGAGGTGGTATTTGCATGTAAGTGAATGTAATGAACCTGACTGGAATTCCAGCTTGGCTCTCCAATTCCTCATTCAAAGCTGCCATCCATTACAGTTGTAAAATTCATGAGAGAATGGTATACCAGATATTTACATACTTCGATCTGACAATAGTTGCTCCAGATATTCCTTATCGACATAAAGCTCTTCCAAAAGCTGTTTCATCATCTTTGAGCTTCCACTTGTGACTGGACGCTGACGGACTTTTTTTTCTTCGACCTTCTGGGATGGTTTCCGATAACCTTCCTTCTGAGGCTTTCTGTTCTTCTGAAATTTAAAAAGAAATCTTACAACTGATCGAATATAGCGCTCACCAAAATCATGCTTAGTTCTGTCTTGAATTCCAAATGAGATAATGAATTCTTACTCTTTGCTAGAATAATATTATTTTTGCTACAGTGCATTGCAAAAGTATACACCCCCTTGAAAACTGAATGTATTTTCTTTATTTTGATAGGAAAAATAAATATTTTAAACTCCAATAATTTGTTTTAATAAGCAGATCTATCCCATTTTTATTTAATACACAAAATACATTTGAAAAATTTAAAACTGATTCTTAAACAAAGATAATTTTGAAAAATGTCTTTGCAAAAGTCTACACCCCCTTTGGAATATCTTCAGCTAATACTTTGTGGATAATCCTGCTGTGTCAATTACAGCCTGCAGACACCTCAAGCAGCCTTCCTTGAGCTTGCTACAGTGGTCTGCTGAGAGTTTTTGCCATTCTTCATGGCAGAACTTCTCAAGCTATATCAGATTGAATGGGGAACGTTGGTGCACAGCCAGCTTTAGATCTCACCATAGATTTTCTATAGGATTGAGGTCTGGAGACTGGCTGGGCCACTCCAAAACTGCAATTATCTTGCTAGCAAACCAAGCTTTAGTCCTTTTTGACACATGATTGGGGTCGATATCTTGTTGAAACTTGAAATTGCAACCCAAGCGCAGAGCTCTAGCAGACTTCAGCAGGTTTGCCTCCAATATTTCTTGGTACTTGTCACTGACCTTGACACCTAGGATGGTTACCAGCTTTCCAGGCTCTGCAGCTGAAAAACAACCCCAAAGCATGATCGAGCCACTGCCATGTTTTACAGTGGGGAGGGTGTAATAAGGTTGGTGAGCAGTGCCTTTTTTCCGCCAAACATAGCATTTCATATTTTTTCCAAATAACTTGACTTTGGTCTCATCTGACCACAAAATCTTTCACCACATGGTCATGGAATCATTGATGTGACTTTTGGCAAAGTTTAGCCTAGTTTGCTTGTGCATAGGCTTCAGAAGGGACTTTTTTCTAGCTACTTTCCCTTGCAGGTCAGACTGGTGCAATACTCTGGAAATTGTAGATTATAGGATACAAATCCTATATTCCAACAAATGACTAAAAAAACACAAAGTAGATTTGCACACCCGCAAAATCGGATCAAAACGACCAAAAACAGATTTCACAATAAGGTGTGAAATTAATTTTCTGACCAATGAAAGGAGACGATTTGCTAAACCAAAAAAAGATAACGAGCCAGTGTGAAAAAAAAAGTCAACAATAAATACAGAGTTTTCAAGTCAGTCGCCAGTCAGTCAGTCAGTCAGAGAAGGGTGCAAAAGATCACAGAAGATTGACAGTAAATTCCATCACTGACTCAACCCAAAAAGTGGAGTAGGAAGGAACAACAACAACAACAACAACAACAAATTTACAACTGGCTTCAAAACAATTCATAAGTACATTTTCCTTTCATCTTTATTCCACATTCACACTCTTTTTTTTAACTTAAATTGCTCACTCCTTTTTCATTTTACAACTATACAAAACAAAAGAAACAGACATTATTCTGCTACTCTGTTAAAAGACAGTGAACACAGACATTTTTATCAAAATCACATTTTTGCTTAAACGAACTAAAACAGTAATATTTTTTACCCTATTCACAAGATAATAAATATACAATGTTCTATTTTTTATAAACGTTCCTTATCGTATTGTTTCTTCTTGAAATTTGCGTTGTATTTTGTGAGCAGGGTATCCCGTATTAAATTCTCCTTTAATCCCGGTACGCTGAACCCCCACAAGATGCATGGACATCTATCCCAGTACTGGAAACTGAACACTTTCAACTCTTCCAGTGTTGCACTTGAGTTGGAAGTTGCCTCCCGGACCAGTTTTGATTTTGCTCTTCTGGTAAGTTTGCTCGGTCTCCCAGATCTTGGTAGGGTAGCAGTGGTTTTGTGCACTAACCGCATCTTAACTACAGTTTTAACAGTGCTTAGGGGCAACTCTAAAGTTTTTGCAATTTTTTTATAGCCATTATTTTCATTGTACTTTTGAATAATAAGGTTTTTAAGTTCCTGAAACAGAGGCTTGCCCATTTTCTTTCCCAAGTTGGACACCTTGTGTTTACAGTCAGAGTCTAAAGACCAACATACCAAGAAACCATGTGGTGGATGATTTTGTAGACAGTTAAATCACCTTATATAGCAAAATAATAAGACTGGCCAAGTTTGTTTGTTATGGTAGACCACATGTCACTTTTGATTGTTCTGGATTGTATACATCAATGATAAACTACGTGATAACACAGTATAATATATGGAGGGGTGTGTAGACTTTCGCAAAGACATTTTTCTAAGTTATATGATTTTAAGAATCAGTGTGAAATTTTTAAAATGTAATTTTTATATCAAAGGAAAGTGTGATAGATCTGCTTATTATTTAACAATCATTGGAATTGAAAAAAATGTGTTGTTCCCTGTTAAATTATACAAAATATATAAATTTTCAAAGTGGGTGTAGACTTGTGCAAGCCAATGTACATATAGGACTGATTTAAATTCAGGTTTTGCCAACAATTTTGAAATTTGCTTGGGAGATATCAAAATAATCTAGAATACTGGGAACAAACCACCTGCATACGAATAGAAATTGAATTTGGTAAGTAAGCAAAAATAGAAATGGCACAAGACACGGATCTTCTCACAGGATTTATTTAACATATACAATGAGGTTCACCAAAAAAGAACTAGAAGTTCTACCAGGATTTATTTACTACAAGCTATCAGGTGGCATTTAAGCTAACTCCTGCAGCAGACTCTTGATTATGCCTTCATCACAATAGTGGGGAGTAGATGCTATAGGCAATAATAAACTACAGAAGAACTCAAAATTGATTGCTACATTTAAGTATTGCATTAATATTTAAGATTATGTACATTATTTACATTATTCAGACTATTGTCCTCATCTTTGTCGCCATATTTATCACAACGTTTCGGCTGTTGTACGCTCTGGCCTTCTTCTTATAAAGGTCAATGATAATTCATCTGCCGCTACTTAATTTAAAGAAAATTTGATGTACATAGGTCCTTACTTTCCGTACAAACAATTTTTTTTATTTCATAGGTGACTTTCACTAGATTTCACAATTAATTTCAATTATTCCCAAATTTATTTCCAAGTTATAAAAACTGTTATTGTACAAAAAGAATTGTTGCAAAAACTCATGTTAAAAAAATCACTGAAAACAATTGCAGTAATGAAAACTTGTGGGTCTGGATCCAGCCTAGAATGTTTTTAATTTGTTCATGGAGTTGGCCTGATTCCAAAATGGTATGATATGTTGGCTACAGCCTGTAGGAGTAAAGCTGAAAATGTATGACACAGTGACATACCGATATTTACATTTGATATACAGAAGAAGATGAGCTATTGAGAGTTAGAGAGTTGTGTCCCTTTCATTTTTTTATCAGTAGAAGCTAAAATAGCAGAATCTGAAAACAATCATCATAATGAAATCTTGGGAATCCAAAATTTCAGGATTGCAGATCCAGATCCAACCTAGAATGTTTTTAATTTGCTCACAAAGTCAGCCTGATTCCAAAATAGTATGATATGTTGGGCTATGGTTTCTTGGAGAAAAGTTGAAAACGTGTGACACAGTGACATACTGACATTCACATTTAATATATAGAAGAAGAAGATGAGCTATTGACACTTAGTATAACACAGTGATGCACTGACATTTGCATTTATTATATAGACGAACAAAACAAAAACTTCATATGAATGGTTTCCTGGAACATTTCTTCTAGCTCTTTCATTTCTTTAATTCTGCAGTTGATAGAATATGGTTCCTACCAAAATCATTATCAGTTTTAAATTGAATTCCAAATTAGATAAGAAACGGATGTTCTTTGCTAAAAAGGATTTTTTCATTTTTTTTTTTAAATATATTGATAGAATGGCTTAATGCGGGTTTTACCAGCATCAAATCTTGCTAGGCCAATAAAATCTCCTTGGAGAAGACATTAGAATAATCCAAAATATATACAGGATCAAATTACCTATATAGAGAGATAAAATGAATAAAGTACACAAAAACAGAAAGGAGCACAAGACAAGGATACATCATCTAAACAGATTTTATTTAACCTACCTGTGAGGCTATCAGAAGAGAACTAGAAGTTCAATGAGGATTTATTATTGGTGGATGCAATCTTAGCAAGATATGCAGATGACACTGATTTGATAGTTGACACAGAAAGAAATCTACGGAAAGTTCTAGAGAAGGAAGTAAAGGAAAGCAGGAGGAAAAGACTAACTATTGATTATAAGAAAACAGAATTATGGTTGTATGCATTGAAAATCAGGAAGAAATGGATTGTCAGTAGTTAGGAATGAATGCAAACATTTCTGATAGAATAGGGCTATTATATGTATAATGTAAATGCATTGCTAATGATTTTACTATAAAAATGCATTGAAAATCAGGAAGAAAGGGATTGTCAGTGGTCAGGAATAAATGCACGCATTACTTATAAAAATATGAGTGAAAAATGAATAATAATAGACAAGGCTTCATCTAAGAAATTCAGACAACTTACAATTATTACTACTTGGTGTAAACACAAGAGAAATAAGATGAAAAAAAGGGAAGTAAAAAATTAATAACTAAATCTTACCTCTTCTTGGTGTTTTTCAAAGATGGAGAGGTCACCTTTGGCCTGTAATTTCACAGTACTAGGACCTTAAAAAACATGAAAATTTCATCATTAAGGCAAATTTGGGGGCAGGGACAGGTAAACATTTATTTTTATCAACAATAATAATTTGCTACATATCATATTTCATTTGAATAATTTCCTTTTATATATATATATATATATATATATATATATATATAAATTATATATATATCGATTATGTGATGCTGTTTAATTTATATTACAATGAATCATTCATACAAAAAGTAAATTAGTAAAGTTAATGAGATAAAATGGCAAAACTAACTAAATTTTAAAAATACATTAACCTACCAATCACACGATGAATGTTATGATCCTTGTTTTTTTTTTAAATTATACATTGTTTTAGGTCTTCCTTAAATATACAAGTACTTTTGACAGGTTCTCCTGTCATCATCAGGCATGAAAACTATTTTCTTTTTGGTAAATTGTCATTTTAGTAAAAAAAAAAAACTAAGCATTGCAACTGCACACTCCACAAGTTTGTATCTGTTATCAATAACACACTTAAAAAAAAAACATATTTCGATTTGCATTATATTTTTTTGTCTCGGATACTACCTTTAATTTTACTTGGTTTTGAGTGGCTCCCAATAGGCTTTCAATCTCCCATTTCATTTCCCCTCTCGTCAACCAATCCCACACATCTCTTGTCTTAATAGCCTTGGTGTTTCTCACAAACTGTCCTTGAAGCGGCCATTGTCACTTTTGCCTTTTAACTTCTCTTTCAATTCCTTCTTCCTGCATTCTTCTTTGTCCATGATGCTCTCTTTAACAATCATTTTTGGATTTTGATGTGTACTTACTATTATTAATTATTTTATTAGTAGAATTTCATTTTGTAAATTCACTTTTCCTCCTAAGATGGATAGATAGATATACAGAATGATATAGATAGATAGATGTGAAGAATACTGGGGCTTGTGATATAGCAATGAAGATGAGGATAATAATTTGAATAATGTAAATAATATAGATAGATAGATAGATAGATAGATAGATAGATACAAACAGACTGAGATAGATAGATACACAAAAAGGCAGAGATAGATAGATAGATAGATAGAAACAGACTGAGATAGATAGATAGATAGATACACAGAAAGGCAGAGATAGATAGATAGATAGATAGATAGATAGATAGATAGATAGATAGGCAGTAAAACATAGATAGATAGATAGAAGCAGACTGAGATAGATAGATAGGAAGTAAAACATAGATAGATAGATAGATAGAAACTGACTGAGATAGATAGATAGATAGATAGATAGATAGACAGACAGACAGAAAGGCATAGATAGATAGATAGATAGATAGATAGATAGATAGATAGGAAGTAAAACATAGATAGATAGATAGATAGTTAGATAGATAGATAGATAGAAACAGAATGAGATAGATAGATAGAAACAGACTGAGATAGATAGATAGATAGATAGATAGATAGATAGATAGATAGATATGAATGAATGAATGAATGAATGTACTAACTTCCAATACTGTTATTAATTGCCTCTTGTGCTTTGCTAATGCCAAGAAGAAAATCTGGTAATTCTGGACGTAGTTTGTTGCCACGGTGATAATATACAAGTGCAGTTTCAAAGTCTCCTTGTTGGTACAAAGCCTCGGCTTTTCGGTAAAGAGCCTAAAGAAAATAAAGAAAAAAAAAACACATAAAATAAAAGGTGTAAAAAGCAAGCAAAACAAAAAGAATTTTTGACTTCATTTCATTTAAAAACCAAGCCACACACTTTGAAGGAAAACTTCAAAAATCTATACGAATTTTTCTTCTTCAATATGCCTTATCCTTTCAAGACGTGGACAATCATGGCTCTCCACAACATCCTATCCTTAGCAAAGTTTTGTCTTTTTATTATCTCTCCTAATCCCTGTTCTGCTAACCATTTACCCAAGCTCATTAGATAGGTTATTCACTGTTTTCCTCTCTCTCTCTCTCTCTCTCTCTCTCTCTCTCTCTTGCCTTCAATCTGTCTGTGAGTCTCAAATTTTCCAAGCTCTCTTTCCTCAGTATGTGCCATGGAAATTTCAGCTCCCTCTTTTTAATGCTAAGTATAAGTATTCTTTTTGTTTCTATTTTCTCTAAAACTTTGTCATTGGTATCCTCAGCATCCTTCTGTAGAGCTACATTTTCTGTTGCTTCAAGTCTCTTCTTCATCTTCAGGTGATATACATTGGACTTTTAAACTGAACCCTTTATTTTGTCCACCCGGGTAGATTCCATGTGCAATGCCTTTTCTGGATATCTCAATTATCTCCCTTTAGTAATGCAACTCTATCATAGATCTGAACAGAGTGACATAGATAGATAGATAGATAGATAGATAGATAGATAGATAGATAGATAGATAGAATGACATAGATCTGAACAGAGTGACATAGATAGATAGATAGATAGATAGATAGATAGATAGATAGATAGATAGATAGATAGATAGAATGACATAGATCTGAACAGAGTGACATAGATAGATAGATAGATAGATAGATAGATAGAATGACATAGATCTGAACAGAGTGACATAGATAGATAGATAGATAGATAGATAGATAGAATGACATAGATCTGAACAGAGTGACATAGATAGATAGATAGATAGATAGATAGATAGATAGATAGATAGATAGATAGATATGAACACACTGAGATAGATATATAAATATGGACAGACTGAGATAGATAGATAGATAGCAAGACAAGTAGCTATTAACAGATTAAGATAGATAGATAGATGTGAACAGACTGTATATATATATATATATATATATATATATATATATATATATATATATATATATATATATATAATATCAAATTGTAATTAGTAGGGATGATTCCAAAGAAGACTTTTAGTCCATATGAGAGTTCAATGTATGATGCAGAGTAAATTATAATAATAATAATAAGGAAAAGACCTCAAAAAATCCATCAGGAGTAATAAATTTATATCAATGAATATAAGCATATTCATCTCATCAAACTGACAACATTTTATGAAAGGGAATCAATATATTGCAGACAGACAGACATACAAAGAGAAAGTAAATAAGAAATAGCAAAATAATAATAAAAACAAAACAAGAACAATAACCAAAATAAATTGATCTAGAAAAGTTTTCTTTATGAGAGAAGAAAAAAAAAAGACTTAATATAATGAGTAAAGGAAGGTAAAGGGATAGAAAGGTTCAAACAATGAGTGAATTAAAGCTTACAAAGGGAGGCGGGGTTTAAAATGGTGACTGTTTAGACAGCATCATCATCATCATATAATCATCATCATATACTCATCATCTCATAATACTAATGATAATAATAAAAAATATATAATATGCTTATAAGAAAAATATATGATATAAAACATAAATAAATATACACATAATTATCTATATATAACACAAAAATATAATAACTAATAAAAAATGATGATGAAAATAATAATAAAATAATAATAATAATAATAATAAATAAAAATTAATAAAGGAATCAAAAAATATATAGATAAGATATATATATCAATAGACTGAGATAATGAACTGAACAGACTGAAATAGATAAAGAAATAGATAGAGAGATAGATGGATAGATAATGAACAGACTTAGATAGATAGATAGATAGATAGATAGATAGATAGATAGATTGTAAATATAAAGAGGTATTTGAATGTCTACTGACCGGAATGAAGTCTTTCTCTTGGCTGAGTGCCATTTCTGCATCTTTCAAGGCAGCATCGGCTTCTCCAAGTTGCAGATGGCATTTGGATTGCATTACAAGACAATGTTTGTCTCCTTCATTCATTTCTAAAGCCTGAAAAAATAGAAACAAATAAACTCAAAAGGTAAATGAATCGGCACCATTAAAATTGTTTTTACTTTGATACGATACACAGATGGTGTAATGTTTAGCAGTTTGGATCAAGAATCAATTGAATGATTTGCTGTTTTATGGATTATCAACCCTTTATGCGTTATTTAAGGCTGAAACAATATTTTTACAATGATATTCATCTCATACAAGGCCCAAGAGCCACTCGAGGTAGAGGGTTACAGAGTAAGAATCACAGTTTATCTGGATATGTGGGGAAGATAACAATTAACCCTAAGTTTGAACAGGCTAAGATTGTAGTGGTCTGGGAAGCATCCTCTTGGGAGTCAGTTAAAAAAAAAAACAGCAATTTTGGATTGTAAGAATAATTCTTTTTTTTATTTTGCAAGTAAATATTGCATCAACAATTTGTTGAGAATAAAAACGAGGTTTCCAAATACAATTCTTACAATTTAACCCATACCTGGGGGAAAGAGCTGGATTCATACCTTTCCCAAGAGTATTTGCACATGAATGAGCATAACAAACCCGGATTACTGATTTCTCATTCTGAGCCGCTATCCATCATGTCACATCCTCAGAACAAGAAATTGATGAGCCAAGTTTGAATTCCACTTCTTGTCCACCCAGCTATGGATTAAATAGTACAGGAGACTGAGCTCTTTTGCCTTAGGTGGTAACCAGTTTAGAAGGGCAACTTTGAATTCAAAACCATTTTGACATGGGGTTAGCAATTCTATCCAGTGAAAACCTTCTTGCTACAAAAAGTGTATTGCAAAGATCTTGGTTTGCGATGATAGCAGAAATCATAGAAGGGGTGATATGCTTATTATTTGACAAAGATTCAGTTTTAAGTGGGAAGTTAGGCAGCGATACTCCAGATAAGTCAAAAGTAGAGTTTGAGGAGAATTTACAGGAAAAGCATTCAGATTTATCAGCAGAGGATGATAACACGTCAAATTGATTGAAGAGGGGAGGAATAGGGATTTTGCACTTATTTGATGCCATATTACAGAGCTGCTAAAAGGATCTAGAAGAGTGGCCACTTAGGACAACCTTCATTTCGTGGTTTGATAAAGACTGAATCAATTCAAAAACTCGTCCACCATAACTTTTCAACTTGTGAAGAAGACCGGTATGCCGAACAATTTTGAGGTATCCAAGCATCACCATTCTCATCTAAAGCTTGATAGCCTCTTTACATTAATGCATCAGTAGTTGAGAAATGAAAACCATATTCCTTGTCTAAAAAGAGACCCTGTAATGTGAGATGATTAACCAATATCGGCATTGATTAGTTCCTCATTTGAGTTTCCCCAAACGAGATAGAAGACTAATAGGCCAATAGCTGGAAGGGTTAGACTGTTAACCCGAGTTCTTCAAAACTGGAACAACAGATAAGGAATTCCAGCAGGCAGGAAAACAAGAGGCAGCAAACAATTTATAATACAGTTTAAAGAGAACAGGAGCCAGTTCAGGATCACATTTCTTGATGACTCTTACAAGGATACTATTAATTCTACATGCTTTGTGGGGATACACGTTAGAGATGTTTAGCGGTCAGTGTTACCAATATTGTAAGGGTGTGTACTACATATATTTAACTTTGGCTAGGAAAGGTGGGATTAAGAACAATGCGTGGACACAATGCAATTTATATTTGACGTAAATAGCACATAGTATAAAATACAAAACTGAACGGAATGATTTCAAAACATGACAATTGAATTAATTAATATTTGATATACATGCATGTGAACTGAAAAGTTAGACAGAGTTGTGTCTCTTAGACTAGGTAATATTTGTAGCTAAGCTCATAAAGTGAAAGTAATTATTAAACTGTAGAAGAATGAGTTGTTGCATGTTTGGAATTGTGTATTGTACAAGTTAGTAAAAGTTCAGACGAGATTTCAGAGTTCGTACTTGCGTGAATGTTGGTAATGTTCTTTTACGTCTGACTGCATAAGTCAAGACAGGAGTTCTTGAAGATTACATCTTGGCAGCAAGAAATGAGATGCGAGAGAGAGAGAGTTTACACGTGTTTTTGTTTTTATAAGATCATGTATCACGTGGGAGGCTCAGAGCATATTGAGCAGGAAAACAGATTTGTCACGTGCAGGCGGTTTGATTAGTCAGAACTGACCAATCAGCGAGCTAGTTTTGAGGAGATTGACCAATGAATGCTTGTCTATGTACTGTGTTTATGTAATGTGGTGGTAATTACCATAGAGGAAGAGGGCATTTTCCAATTGGGGGGTGGGTAACTGGCAAATGTGGAATCTTCCACAGATGATAGCAGAAACATAGAAGGGGTTATATGCTTATTATTTGACAAAGATTCAGTTTTAAGTGATGTGAGATGCTTAACCAATATCAACATTGATTAGTTCTTCTTAGAGTTTCTCCAAAAGAGATAGAAGGCTAATAGACCGATAACAGTCAGACCATTCACCCGAGTTCTTAAAAACTGGAACAACAGAAGAGGACTTCCAGCAAACAGAAAAGCAAGGGGCAGCAAGCAATTTATTCTACAGTTTAAAGAAAATGGCAGCCAGTTCGGGATCACATTTCTTGATGACTATTACAAGGATACTCTAGAGGACCGTGGGGGTTTAGCGTTGTTGAATTGGAAGCATGTGCTGTTTATTTTCTGCTAGAAGAAGCTCCAACTACAAGAACATTGTAGATGTGTTCGATGAAATGCAAAATGAAAAAGAGAATGAGACAAGAAGTTGCCCAGTATTTATAGTGTAGGGAAAGCGACCCCTAGTGAACAATTAGAGAATTAAGGAGGAGCTAACTCTGACAAGTTACATTATACAAACACTCTTATACATATGCACACATATAATCACATATCACATATAAACTCCTCAACATATGCACACATACACACACACAGAAACACAATGATGTATAACCACATACACATATTAAGGCACACATATACACTCATACACACAATAGACACAGTCCCCACCACACATACACATACGTACGAACATTCACCAAAATACAAACTCTTTACATTTACACACAAACACAAATGTTGATGTCTTTGTCACTTGTAAATTTGTTGTTTAATACATATATTTGTTGATATATATATATATCGGTCTTGTTTGTTTTCTTTATGTCTTCAGTTGGACTCAAATTGAGTCTGCATTGTTCTTGTAGTTGGACCTTCCTCTAGCAGGAATTAACAGCATGTATTCCTAATTTAACAACACGTAAACCCACAGTCCACTACAAACTAATCAATATCTTTTGGTAGAGAAAATCTTTATGGCTTATCAACCCTTTTGCAGGTTATTTAACGCCAGAAAATATTTTTAAATTGTAAGAAATTGTTTAGGGTGATAATAATAGTTTAATGATACAAATCTTAATAATTAACCCATATCTGGGGGGAGAAAAGGTGGATTTGTGGAATCTTCCACAACAAACCAGCCTTAGCTCTTTTTAGGAAATGCACTCTTCCTATCTGGTAAGTAACATCCTCCTTTCATACAAAATATCAACGAGAAACCATTGGTCAATCACAGTACATCCAACTTGCTGATTGGTCAGTTTCAACCAATCAGATCGCTCTCATATGCAGAGTCAATTTAGGCGCCAAGTCAATTCTGATCCTACCACGTGATACAGGCAGATATATAAACCCAACACGTGTGATATTCTCTCTCTCTCTCTCCGTTCCTGCTCTTCCTGACTCAAGCCTAACTTATCTACTTCACTCGTACATCTCAACACGCCGCCAAAATGTAACCCTAAAGGAACTCCCGTCTCGACTGATCCAGTCAGACGTTAAATGAACAATACTTAATTTATGCAAGTATTATCTCTGAACTCTACCTAACTTGTTCATACAATTCCAAACACTCAATACGAACCCATTCTTCTATTACAGTTTAATATTACTTCCTTTTAATATGAGCTCAGGTACAACTATTACCTAATCAAAGGGACACAACTCTGTCCTACCTTTTCAGTTCACATGTATACCAAATATTAATAAATTCAATTGTTATGTTTCGAAACAAGATGTTTATGAATCATTATTTCTCCTTTCTTATCAAACGTCAAGAGTTTTTGATCTTCATAAATTAAATAATAGGGAAAGAGGTTTTATTTGGAAAGTACATCTAGAGGTGGCCTTGTGCCAGCTTTATCTCCAGAGAGAGAAATAAACCAAATATGTTCTGTGCCCACCTACAGATTCATACCTTTTCTAAGGGCATTTGCATGTATGTGAAGATAATGCTGGGCCAGTTCATACTACCCCCCAACCCCCCCAACCCAACCCCCTGACCGTGAAGGGGGGGGTGGTTAAGCCTGATTTTATGAGGTAGTATTCATATAAAATACAAATTGAAAATAAATACAATGTATCTAAATACAAATTAGAGACCTGTCATAATTGATTATTCCATCTTAAATATTTTGTGGGAATTTTTAACATCAACTCGAGATTTCTTCTTGTCAAAAAGTTGAATAATTTTAACACATTTCAACATTAGGCATAAAAAAAATAGTGAAATTTATGGAGTGTTATTTTCGAGGCTTAGCATAAGCAAAAGAAATTTACGGATTTGGACGAAAAATAAAGACCCAAGAATATGGTAATCTAATACAGTGTAACCAGGATATAAGAGACCCGGATATAAGAGAAACCCGGATATAAGAGGGATAGTCTCTGGTCCCAAATTAGAGCCTGTGTTAGACCAAACCCGGATATAAGAGAAACCCGGATATAAGAGAAACCCGGATATAAGAGACTTCTTCTCCGGTCCCGACAACTCTCTTATATCCGGGTTACACTGTATGTACAATATTTAGATACATTGTATTATTTTCTAATTTTTCTGGTAAATTTGCTTTTTAACACCCAAAAACGCCTGCGTGCTAAATATCCCTTAAGTTAAAATTTTTCCAAATCGTAATAATAGCGTGTAATAAATGTTCATGTTGAACTCGAATTAACAATTAAATTATGAAGAAACCTACAGTTTTTTTTTGAGTTATCAACAAGAAAAAATAAGACTTCTTGTTGGTCATTCGTCCCCCATTACTGCCATAATGTTCACTAATTCAGTGCTGAGTACATCCGGTGGCGCAACATTAAATTTGGGCCTATTTACTTCCTTTACATAAGTTCTTTTCCGAAATCAATACGCACTACTGTAAAGCAATATAATTTTTTTTGGATAAGTGTAGTTTTACTTTAAATTAAAACAAACAAAAATTACAATGTAAAGAAAAGGTTTTTTTTTTTTTGAAAATAAAACAAGAAGAAAGTTAACTTTCAAATATATGAAAATATTGACAAATTAAAAAAATAACAAAAAAAAAAAACAAATTAAGTAGTACAGTAAAGCATTTTTTATTTTTTTTTAATTGAAAATAAAACAAAGTTTGTAAAGAAAGCAAGGTAAAAGTTTCAAATAATCTGAAAATAATGACAAATTAAAAAATGCGCAAACTTTGTGAAGAGACATTTCGAAAATAAATTTACTATTTAAAAACGAGGCTTTACGGTTATTTTTTAATTTGTCAATTTTGCTTTATTTGTTTGTTTTAATTTCAAGTAAAACTACACTTATCCAAAAATAAATTACATTACTAGTACATATTGATTTCAGAAACAAAACCTCCATTTGGTCACGTAAAGAAAGCCGCATATCACGATGAAAAAAGGCCCATAAATCAACGAAAACAAAGTTTTGTCTCAATAGGTTTATGTTGTTATAAAGAGGAAAGACCAAAGTATTTTTTAAATATTTTTTGAAATTTTTTACTCCTTTCTAGCACATAGAAAATTTTGGTTAAAAATTTTGTTTTTTTTTACGACAGCGCAGTAAGAGAAAAAAAAAGTTTTGTTTTATTTTGCGCTTTTCCTGAGGAAAACACACGTTAATTTTTAGGAAATTCTTGCAAAAATCAAATAATTGTCAGATTTTAATGAAACTTTCAGGACTTATTTAGAAATGAATGAAATTATTTTTGAAATTTTTTTTTTTTGAAAATCTTATTAAAAAGAGATTTTTTTTAACATGTTTCACCCACTTACATATTTTCATGAAATTTCAATAAATCTTTACGCGCGGGATTTGTTTTAGTTCAGTAAACAGGATTCTTTATAGAAAGTAAATCATTAGTTTTTTTTTTGGGGGGGGGTTGTTTTTGTTTATTCTTGTCTTTGTAAAACAGTTACTGGTTTCATAGAAAATCTGCTCTGAATTATTTATTTTCAAATTTTCTGGTAAATTTGCTTTTTAACACACAAACGCCCGCGCGCTAAAATTTTCCCAAATCGTCATAATTTCGTGTAATAAATGTTCATGTTGAACTCGAATTAACAATTAAAGTCAGAATGATGCCAAAATCCACAAAAATTTTTCAGTTTCACCCTTTAAAAAAATAGTCAATTATGCTTAGTTTAATTTGTAACTTACAAATATGTTTGTAGAAAGATGCAAAAAGGGTCATGAACCCCAATCAGGGTTGGCCTCCCCGGTCGGTGGGGGAGTACGCACCAACCCTGGCTCGCCCCCACTTGACTTAAAGACCGACCCACCAACACTAAAAAAAAAACAAAAAAAAAAAAAAACGCACTGGCGACGGGTCTGTCCGAAACACACATTGAAAAAGAAGGGAACATTCATTGATAGAGAAATCAATTTACGAAACAAACTAGTAATTAAATTGATTAAAGTAAAAAAAAAATAAATAATAATTAATAAAATAATTATTAGCAACAACGACCCATTTTTGCAGGTTGTTGCTGGCTAGCGTCTTTGAAACCTTGTCGTTTGTAATATAACAATTTCTTTTCCTTTTTCTTACCTTTGTGAAACTTTCAATGGCTTTTTTGTATTGCCCAACATGCATAAAATGTCCCCCTTCATCACGTAGGGTTTCAAACGTCCCAACGACCCCGGTCGATTCACTGTCAATATCGCTTTCTTCTTCTTTGCCTGTTCGCTTCTTCAAACGGCTGCCAGGCATTTTTAATTTTGTTTCACAAAAAAGAAACAATAAAGAAAGAATAATGTAATTTTGATCCAAACTCACGAAAAATAACAAAAACTAATAAATTTTAAAACAACTGCTCAATTAATTCACGTTCCGTTCTGGTTTTGTCCACCATAACAGGTGTTTAGTTTAGTTTATTATTTTGAAGCCTGTGTGTTAATTAAACACCAAACGTTGCTAGGGGCAACCAGGTGGGTTCGAATTTCATTTCAGTAGCAATCATTCTCTCAGCTTAAAATGACTATATTTTTTTCCTTTTATTTATCAAATTTAAATTATAAAACGGAAACTGTAAATAAACTATATCGCAATTATTACATTTATTACACACACAAAAAAAATAGTTTTTAAAAATGACATAGTATTTTAAAATACTTTTCTACTTTTTTCTTTTAGATAGAGGTATTCCTTATTGTAGATATCCAAACTTATCTATCTATCTATCTATCTATCTATCTATCTATCTATCTATCTATCTATCTAAGGAATTTAATTTGGGATATTTCTCATTTTTATTGATTCCAAACTAAAAAAAAACAAAAAAAAACATCGAAAATATTTTTAAAATTCATAAATTATTTTTGTGGAGAGTTACTAATACCTAATTCTAATATATTCACATATGAAAAAAAAATTTGATTTATATTTTTGGCGAAAAATTGGTATGTATGATTTTTACCTGGCACAAAGCAAAATTAAAAAGAAAAGAAAGAAAGAAAGAAAGAAAGAAAGAAAGAAAGAAAGAAAGAAAGAAAGAAAGAAAGAAATTCAGGAAGGAGAAGAAAGAAAGAAAGAAAGAAAGAAAGAAAGAAAGAAAGAAAGAAAGAAAGAAAGAAAGAAAGATCAAAGCGTAGTAGCTGTTCTTAATAGAGAAGGTCACCAGTGTCGGGGATTCCAACTCTGCGGTAGCACCTCCCCCATTTGCACTAAAAGAGGGAGAATCGGAGAAATATCGACACCAGCGTGACAGTGGTCGCGAGAACTAAGCATTTTTTGAATTGGCCAGATTAAAAAAAGTAAAAGACCTCATATCACATCTTGTCACTGTTGGCTGGTGAGTAAATAAATAAACTGTGTTGGTGGTAGTCAATATTTTTTTAAAAATAAGTAAGAAATTAATAATAAATTGACGGAGAAAAAAGAAATTAATAACAAAAATAATAATATATTTCTTAAAATTTTTGAAAAATTTTTAAAAAATCGTTTTATACAAAACAATGGCTATAAATAATCGACTACTTAACAACGGCCTAAATATCAAAATGGCGGATGAACAACAGATGACAAGAGACGAATTCACTTTGAACAACAATCACCAAAATGGACGATCATTTAATGAGATCGATCAACAGGAAACAGATTATTCAAATGTTAACAGTTTGTTTACATTATTTACTTTTACAATCGACATAATTTTAATTTTTGATTCTTAATTTCAGTTTGTTACCATGACAAAAACTTAAGTTATATAGAAATTATTATGGAAAGAGAGAAATTTCTCTTTTCCCAGTGAGTATGTAAAAAAATAAGGCAGTAAAAGAAAAGTCTTGTTCAATGAATATTTAATAGATTAACAAAAAAAAAATTAACTAATTAAAAATTAAGTGCCGATTCTAGTTTAATGTACAGATTTTGATGTTTTGGGGTTGCTAACTATGTCAACTTAGTATTGATAGAAAAATAAAATGTTCACTATTTTAAAAAATAAACATAAAAAAATAGAAAACTTGGCAAACCATTTTGCTTTGCCATAAAGAAAGAAAAAAAAAGATAAGAAAAAAATAAAAGAGGCCAAAAGGTCATCATTAGGGTTACAGGTTTCATTCCTGTCAGAGGAGCACATATTTTGTACAAAATTTCTTGAACATTCACATCAATAAATGTAATTAATACTGTTTATTCAAAAAACAGAGCATTTACTTAAATAAATTGTATCTATTAAAATAACATATAAACAGAATATATATATATATATATATATGAAGAAAAATATACAGAAAAAACAAACAAAAATCTTAATATGAAATTATGCTGTATTAATGTTAATATAAAGTCAACGTCGGATGTTTCGGTCTATTTTAGACCATCATCAGGACATTTTCATATTATATATCATATCATATATTAACATTAATACAGCATAATTGCATATTAAGATTTTTGTTTGTTTTTTCTGCATATTTTTCTTCATACTGTCAGATCTATATCCATATATTTGCTTACACACACACACACATATATATATATATATATATATATATATATATATATATATATATATATATATATAAAACAAAACAAACAGTTATTTCTGAAGAAAGATTGAGGTCAATCTGAAATATCAAATATATATAAATATATAAATAAATACTTTCATAAAAAAACATTATTATTTTTTTTAATTTACAACTTTTTTTCTATATATATATATATATATATATATATATATAATGAACAATGAAGTCAACACTCAAAGGCGACCAGCTGTTTCATGTTAGACACAATTGCCTCTGAGTGTTGACTTCAATGTTCACTTTTATATTTATATTTACATATGCTCTATCTCTGATATTGAGCAATTTATCCCATAAATATACCACACCTTAAAACTATATTTTTCATTTATATATATATATATATATATATATATATATATATATATATATATATATATTGTAAGACAAAATGGAAAAAGTTTATTTATTTATTAATTTTTTCGATTTTGTCTGACAATTTCCTTAGTACTGTTCTTGTATATATATCATTATCTTATATATATATATATATATATATATATATATATATATATTGTGGACTCTCCAGTTGTTGATCAACATGAGCTGTTGACCTGCACCTACCGGGAACCCTTTTACGATATATGATGGTCAGGCATCTCAGTTCCTAGGAACCAACAACCTGCACATTTGATTTGATAATAGTGGGGAAGCTTTTGTGCTTTTTTGAAGAGCCAAATAGTGAGACCTGGTTCACTCTCAATCTCAAACAACTCTCCAGTTGCCATCCATGGGTATAGAATCCAGTCTGTCCTGCTATTTATCCATAGCTGGAGGAAGAAGAAGAGGATTTGTACATTTCCCAAGTGCATTGCACATAATACATATATATATATATATATATATATATATATATATATATATATATATAGAGAGAGAGAGAGATAGATAGATGAAGAATTCATTTAAACAAGTTTTATTTAAATTCAGTCAACAAGATCTTTCTATAATTAATTGTATTTTTCTCATTTTTGAATACACTGTACATCCAAATCAAAATTATGGATTAACTAGACAAAGTTTATGTTTTCTTTTGTCTTTGTTTAAGTACATTTGACTGTCTCAGTCATTATCAAGAACTATGTGCTGTCAGTTTGGTGGACAAGATTCTGTTGGCTACATCCTAGCATTTTTTTAACAGTGCAATTCAAATTTAGTTCAAATAAGTGCATATCCTATGTGAAGCCATTGTACACACGACCTTACTTAGAAAATATATGTATATTCCAGATAATGCTACTAGTTGAGATAAAGCAATTATAATGAAAATGAAAGAAATCCTAATCAAAAATGAAAGATGATTGACAATGCTTCATCAAACCATATAATAATTATCAATGTGTATTTATTTATATATTTCCTGTCCCATTTGATAATGGGAGATAACTATATTTTCTTCATAAATGGAGATAAAATATTTTCTTGATAACGTTAAATATTATAAAGAATTTTGTTGTTAATCATCAAATCAAATCATAATAATTGTCAATGTGTATTTATATATTTTCTGTCCCATCTGAGGATCTGATGAGACAGACTGAAATACAAACGGCAATGATGAATATCTATTTACAAGTAGCAATTACTTTCAAATAAATATATCATGAGGTTTTTATTAACATTACTCCAGAAAATGCATCAGTCATTATTTTACCTGAATATATGAATTATTGTATCCTAGATTCAACATGCTTTTACACTCTGGATATACAACAGAATAACTATGAACAGATAAATTTAGTATTAATATTTAGGTAATAATTACAAGTTTTCATATTATTTAAGCATCCTGGGTATGATGATAAACTACATCTGCGTCCTGGGTATGATGATAAACTATGTCCAACAGCAAGGCCTCTGATAATATGTTTTTGAAAAAATAATGTTGCCAGCTATACGTTTTTGAAAAAATAATGTTGCCAGCAATACTTTTTTAGAAAAATAATATTACCAGCTATACATTTTTGAGGAAAAAATATTAACAGAAATAGATTTTTGACAAAGCAAAAAAATTACCAGGGGAAAAAAAAAAAGAGTTGTCGGCATTAAATGACCCATTGAAGTTGATATGCCATAAAACAAAACAAACCAAACCAATCATCTTATTTAAATACATCTTAGTTTTGCATTGGTATCCCAGATTAAACACAAATGTGTTCTAAAAAAGTAGAATTAAATTTAAATAATTCTCTATGTTTTACATTGTTTTGTGCATTTAAGGAAATTTTGTCCAGTGAACATCATAAAATGGAAAATTCCCTTCAAGAAATGAGGAGATTAGAACGAGAGCAAAAACAAAAGCAGTGTTCACACCTCTCTGAGGAACTGGAGATTAGAACGAGAGTAAAAACAAAGGCAGTGTTCACACCTCTCTGAGGAACTGGAGATTAGAACGAGAGTAAAAACAAAGTCAGTGTTCACACCTCTGAGGAACTGGAGATTAGAACGAGAGTAAAAACAAAGGCAGTGTTTACACCTCTCTCAGGAAGTGATAAAGGTAAGGTGGGAGGCTGATAGGCAAAGATATTCATAGGCTATGAATGCGATGTAATAAGAGCACAAGCCAAGAGACGTGAGGCTCAGAGGCCAACTAATGAAACAAAAGAAGTGGAGAGTAGACCTGTGCAGGGCCAGCACCTCCTAACCCTGAAACCCGTGGGGGTTGGGGGGGAGGCACGT